GGGGGTCTCGAGGAGGATGACGCCTGGGGCAAGGCTGAGGGCTCTCCGTGGGGACTGGAGATGACGTTCCCTCAGCCTGGCGTCCACATGGCACGGGCACTCACGGGACCCAGAGCACGGGCCCTGTGGTCACACAGACCTGAGATCAAGTCTGCATAGCTCTGTGATGTTGGATAGAAGACTTACCCTCTCTGTGCCCAGCGTCCTTGTCTAAAATGGAGTTATAACCCCCCGGGCTTATAGTGGGGGTTGAGTGGGACAAGGATGTCAAGCAAGTAGCGCGCAGTGCCTGGCACCCAGGCCTGCTCAGTAAGTGGAGGCCACACCATCCTTGTCACACAGGCCTAGAAGGAAGAGCTGGGCTGGCTCACTCCACTAACTCTCTCTCTCTGTGCCCTGGGTAAGTCACGTTCCCTCTCTAGGCTCTGATTCCTCCTTCGAATAAGGAGAGAGTTGGACAACTGAGCCCAGAGGGTCCCTCCTGGGCTGCTCTTCCATGTCACAAGGATTCGTATCATTTCCAAATAGCCATGTCAGAAGACAGAGCCATCCTCAAGGTCACTAGTGACCTGAAAGGTGAGTATTTCCTGCAGATTTTCTGGCACTGAGCTACAGGAGAAGTGAGGGGACTTGGGAGCCTGTCCTTTAGTGTCCTTGAGACCTGATGTCTGATATCCACTGTCCTCCCTGCAGCTGCCGTCTCTGCCATCCTCCAGGGTTACGGCGACAGGCAGGGGCCAGTGACAGACGCCAGTGCTGAGCTGCACAGACTCTGTGGCTGCCTGGAGCTGCTGCTGCAGGTGGGACCCTCTCCTCCCCTCCCCCACCATCTCCCCAGGCCCAGACTGGGAGGGTTTCCCAGAGACTGAGCGAAGAGCCTCTGCCTCCCTCTGTTACTCTGCACTGTCTCATGTCCCTCTCCTTCCTGACATGTAACCTCACTCTTGGGGGCTGCCACTGCAGCCTGGGAAATGAGGTGGGGCAGAGCTGGGGAGGGGGCGGGGACCAGGGCCTGGGGCAGCCACCGTGCTCTGCACACTAAAGCTCCAGAAGTGTGGACGTCCCAGGACTGGCCTTTCTCTTAGCTAGTTAAGTCCCAGTTGTAACTCTCACTAGCCTTTACTGAGCACTTACTGTGTGTGCGGCTGCGGCTTTATGTGCTCCTCCTCATTTAATCCTCACTCTCTCCTCTGGGTGTCAATCACCTTCCCCTCACACACACACACACACACACACACACACACACACACACACACAGGCACACACATGCACTCATAGCCATGCACACACCCCTTCCAAATTCTCTGACTTCATCTCTTGCCAGTCTGCCACTCGCCTGCTGCACTCCAGCTGCCCTGGCCTCTGTGATCTTCCTAGAGCACACCAGGTGTGCTCCTGCTGCAGGGCCTTTGCACTTGCTGGTCCCTCTGCCTTGAACTCTCCTCCACAGAATTTGGATGGCACAGTTTTTCACTTCCTTCCAATTGGAAGGCTTCCTCTGGCCATCTTAAGCTAAGTCTTCAACACCCACTACACACACACTACACACCACTCATGCACACATACATACACCACACTTTCCATTCTCCTCCCTTGCTTTATTTTTACTGCCCAGCAGTCAGCACTATCTAACATGCTAGACGGTTTACCCATTTAGTCTGTTCATTGTCTTCCCCTACCAAGATGAGAGCTTCATGAGGTCCGTTTGCTCATTGCTGTATCCCCAGGGCTTAGATCAGGGCCTTGAACATAGTGAGTGCTCAATAATGTGTCTGAATGAAGGAAGGAGAACACTGAGGCTCAGAGAGGTCAAGCACCTTGCTCCTGGTCACACAGCCAGTAAGGACAGGGCCAGCATCTGACACCGGTTGTGCAGGAGCCCTTTCCTCTACTACATGCCCACTCAGCATGCCAGAATGCGAGGCGGGGTCTAAGAGGAAGAATTTCTATACTTTCCTTTCTCTTGTTTTCATCCCAGTTTGACCAGAAAGAGCAGAAGAGTTTCCTGGGGCCTCGGAAGGATTACTGGGACTTCCTCTGCACTGCCTTGCGGCGGCAGCGTGGGGACACAGAGGCAGCCCGCCTCGTCTGCTCACAGGACAAGGTGTCCAGGAACGGGCGCCAGGAAGACTGACTTCAGAAGCATGAAGGGTCCCTGTTACCAGGATGAGAATGTCTGGGGGGGACACAGGCCTGCCCGAAACCCCTTTCCCACCCATCCCTGCTCCACTGACCGCGGACTCCCTCACCAGGTCCCCATCTCCCCTTAGCATGGCCCTCAGCAGCCCTCCTGTCACCACTTTCCTGCTGTGGCCTTCAGGTCCCGCTACACCCTTTCTCGCCGGCCACCAGTGCCAGGCCTCTCCCGCTCCGTGCTGACCGAGCTCCTCCTGTCCTAATACCACCCCCGCTTTGCCCCCGTGTGCTCTGCAGTTGAAGACCCCTCTGGGAAAAGGCCGTGCCTTCATCCGCTTCTGCCTGGTCCACGGACAGCTGGCTGAGGCCCTGCAGCTCTGTCTCCTGAACCCAGAGCTCACCAGGTGGGGCTGCTGGGTCATCCTCCCACAAAGACCGTCTGAGCCCACTTTCCCTGCTTCGTGAAAGAGCCCTCCTTTACCCCTGATGGGTGGTTTAATGTCCTGGACAATTAAAGTGAAAGTCATGAAGGAAAAGACAAGGAAGAAAGGGCAGTGGGGAGATCAGAACCCAGGAGTCCTGTAGCATCATGGTGCTTGGGCCTCCTACTCTCAAAGGGCGACAACTCTGCCTGGGAAGTAGTCCCATTATGGTGTGCAGTGGGCTGATTCTGTGAGATTGGGGGTGGCAATAGTACCAGGGTCAAAGGCTAAGGGTGCTGATCACTGTTAACACAGGGAATGGTATGGCCCCCGGAGCCCTCTGCTGTGCCCAGAACTCCGGGAAGATATCCTGGACTCTCTCTATGCTCTCAATGGCGTGGCCTTCGACTTGGACCTGCAGCGGCCAGATCTGGATGAGGCCTGGCCCATGTTCTCAGAGTGAGTGAATGTAGTGAGGAGAAAAGCCTCTTTTCAACACCTGTTCCTATGACCACAACATGTCCCAGGCAAGGGCCAAGCTCTCAGCCTCCAGCCTCATCCTTCTCTGCCTCCCTTCTTGCTC